GGCCTGGGGTCGCCCGTGCTGCTGCAGAAGCTCGCCGCCCGCTGCCCGCTGCCGGCCCTGCGCCACGCCGGCTTCCACTACGAAGACCATCCGATGGGCTTCGTGGGCGAGGTGCAGGTCACCGTGCCGCTGTACCGGCTGTGGAATTTCCGCGTGCCCGGCACCGACGGCAATCTGCGCCTGCCGCTGGTGGTCAGGCGCGGCGGCATGCACATCTCCTTCCAGCTGCGGCCCGCGGCCGCCTACTACCGCGACAGCCGGCGCGAGCGGGTGGGCAGCGTGCTGAACGACCTGCGCCGCAACCCGTGGAACCCGCTGACCTACGTGAAGCTGTTCAAGCACTGGGACGACGTGCTGGACATCCTGTCGTTCAAGTTCGGCATCCACCTGCCCACGCGCCACTACACGCTGCTGATGTGCGCGCAGATGCCCCCGGCGCAGACGCTGTCCATCTGGGCCGACGGCAGCACCCGCAAGCGCGACTGGCGCTTCACCGAGGCCTACGAGCAGGACCTGCGCGGCTCGGTCGCCGACGTGCTCGCCTGGCTGGCGCCCATCACCCGCAGCGCCCGTGAGTTCAAGGGCTGGCTCGAGGACCTGCGCACCGGCGCCCACCACTCCGGCACGGCGCGCATGGCGGCGACGGCGGAGGAGGGTGTGTGCGACACCGATTGCCGCGTGCACGGCCTGGCCAACCTGTATGTCTGCGACGGCTCCGTGATCCCGTCCAGTGGCATCGCCAACACCGGCCTGACGATCGCCGCGCTGGCCCTGCGGCTGGCCGCCCACCTGCAAGCGCGCCGCGCCTGACACACCCGCCATGACCCTGCACATCGGCATCATCGCCCGCACGCTGAACGTGCCCCACCTGCGCGGCACCGGACGCTACGTGCAGGAACTGCTGCGCAACACGCAGCCCGGCGACGACGTCCGCTGGACGGCCTATGGCCACAACCCGAACCAGCCGTTCAAGGTGCCCCAGCCGCTGCTGGGGCAGGCGGAGGTGTTCGACTTCCGCGGCGACCGCTTCCAGCTCTGGGAGCAGCTCGGCCTGCCGATGCGGCTGCGCAAAGCAGGGGTGCAGCTGCTGCACGGCGCGGAGAACACGCTGCCTGTCTGGCAGCCGGTGCCCTGCATCGTGACCATCCACGACACCGTGCTGTGGGAGGAGGACCGGCGCGGGCTGGACCGCCACTACCTGCACGACGTGCAGGGCCTGGCCTACCGGCGCTGCGCCCATGTCATCACGATCAGCGAGTCATCCCGGCGTGACATCGCCGCGCGCTGGCCCTTCCTGAAGGACCGCCTGACGGTCGTGCCGCACGGCATCGGCGACGAGTTCTTCAGTGACCAGCGCTCTTCGATGCCGGCCGTGCTGACGCAGGCCCTCGGCGGTGCGCCCTACCTGCTCTACCTGGGCGGCGCGCAGGCCCGCAAGCGCTTCGACTGGGCGCTGGAGCTGCTGGCCCGCTGCGGCCGCGACGACCTGCACCTGATCGG